AAAAAAAAAAAAAAAAAAAAAAAAAAAAAAAAAAACATATTAAATTGGAAAAATTTCAGGAACTGATTTTATTTTGAAATGATGCTGTATCCTTAATTGTGGCTTATTTTTGGATCTCTGTATATGTACATATGTATGTAGCTTAACATTTGAGATTATATTTTTATTATATACATACATATAATTTCGAAGCATTTTTAGCCAGTGTATTTCTATCAATATAGAATTGTCGCAATGGTATGTATATAGAACTGTGCTGAGCGAGAGGAGTTGAGCATGTGAAAGGCTAGAATCTTTCGTATTAGATATCATTTCGTTTAGATCAGGCAAATGTTAAGCAGAGCGTCTTTTAGATAATTTGTAGACAAAGACAAATTGTTTTCATATATTATATATCCCGGTAAGGTAGATTTTATTATTTGCAAGGTATACTTGTCTAGCATATAGATATTGTCACAAGAGCTTTCGGGCCCATCATAATTCAATGGGAAGCGAGGGCAATGGATCACTGGAAATGCGCTTCGTTCGCGGCGAAATCTGCGCATATCTCACACTCTCTCTATGAAGCAGGGCTGAGCGACTCTCGTAATTGTTGAATACTTGTGGTGGGGGCTGGGCGGGTGCATCGACTTGCGGTATTTTATCAAATGTTATATATGTCGGAATAACTTCGTAAACATTTTGATTTATATAGCTGTCGCTGCTGGCGACGCTCTCCATTGAGTTGCGCCGCGGTAAAAATGAGCAGAGCCTGTGTAAGTAGATACAATACATATTGGCAAGCAAACAACGACTTTAGGATACCCTGTACTGAAACAGTAACACATTTCTTACCTATGTTGGCTGCATTGTGCCATAGACTTTTCCTTATAATGGAATTTCTGAGCTGCTTTTGAGCGGGGTAAGACGATTATTTCGTCCGAGTCATGCTTGGGCTTGACGATGCGTTTGCTGCCCTTTACCCAACCTGGTTTCTTCTTCAATACCAAATACATGGACATAATGCCAATTAACATGAAAACAACGACGCCGAGCACCATTAAAGAAATACCCTGGAATAAATCGAAAAGATTGTTTAGTAATGAAAAAGTAGTAGAGATTTAAGCTATAGTGGATATATGATATATAAATATTTAAGTTCTGCTTAATTCATTACAAAACCATAGATAATACTATACTGAATATTTTCCTCCATTTTCTAATTATCCTGTTATTTAAAAATATCAATAAGGGATAAAGGTAAATATAAAACATCATTTCTGATTCACTCACCTTGGCCAGCATCCTTTTCGGCGACCAGGAATTATAGTATGTATTCAGATTGCTTCCAACCTTAACGGATTTGCAGCTGAAAGGCGAGACGGTGTTGTGGCCATCCACGACCAGGCAGAAGGTGTACGCCGCATTTGGTGCGAGGTTTGTGACAATCGTTTGCAGTGGAATGGTGAAATAGCAGCCGAGACCGAACTCATCGGGCAGCAACTCCATCATGTAGTATTCCTTCGTTGTCTTCGAGAACCAAAAGGCGCCAACAGAGCTCTGACTGTCGCTCTGCTCCACGGTAATTTTCACAGTGACTCCGCCAAAGTATGTGGGAATGAAGTCTATTTGCGGCCATTTGACATTATTCGTGCTAGCCGAACACTTCATGGGCACGAGCTCGCTGGGACTAATAGTTGAGGCTGTTGAGATTGATGGCAGAAAGTTGTACTCGGTTGTTGTGCTTGGAGTAGGAGTAGTCCTCAAAGTCGTCGACTTCGAATTCGCCTCTGTCATTGTCCTAGTGCTCATTGTAGTCGTCGTCCTGGTAGTTTTAGTAGAAGTAGTTGTCCACAATAAAGTTGTTGTTGTTGTTGGTCTTGTGGTCGTCGTTGTTGTAATCATTGGCGGAGGTGCGGTATTACCGGAATCATCTTTACATATACGTTCATCGAATACCGTATAGTTTACAAACTTCTCTGGCGAGGCACAAATTATATCATATTTGTAGTTTTGATGCACAAAGATCTCGTCCATTTCCTGCTTCAGTTGGCAATCGCAGTGCCAGTTATTGTTGTTAGCGTAAATTTTCAAATTAGCCGAAATCTTTTGTATACCGAATATTGTTTTTGATATTGTAATAAGTTTATTGTGTGATATGTCCAGTAATTGCAAGTATTTCATGCCTGCATAGGGAAGAAAATGAGTTTATTAATGAAATAAAGACTTGTTCAAAAGGCATTGCGAATTTTTTTTTTTTTGTGTCATGATAATCAATTTAGAGCACTGCAAAAGGAGAACACTATAAATTTTTTTTTGTTTTCCAATTTATGAATCAGTTAAAAAGCGTAATTTATTAATCCTCGAATAGAAAATTCGTAATACCATTAAAAATACCTCAAGGCATATAGAAAACAAAGTTTGATTTTTACCTTGAAAGACATAGCTGGGCAAATACAGGATATTCGAGTGGGACAGAATGAGTCGCTCGACCATGGTTAGTTTCTTGAACGTGTCTTCAAGTAGTTTATCGGCAAAGTTGTTGTGGCTGAATTCGGCATGGACGAGGGCACCTAGATTGTGTCCAATGCCTGTTACATTGTGTATACAATCGATGCCAACTTCCAGCCTAAGGTACTCAATTTGGAATACCACATTGTCCAAGAAATCGGGATATATACTTTCCAGATTCCCATTATGTTGAATGATGGTAATTTCCTTCAGGTCTGACGAGATGTTGGTAAAAACTTCCTTATTCAATTGCTCAAGTTGCAGTTCCTCAAGCATGATATGATAGAATATGCCACCACCGAAGGCTCCGCTCTGAATGTATTTTATATTTGAGATGCCCAAATATATCATTTTGATCTTGTTGGTGTATGTGGACAAGAATCCGACTGGCAATAAATCATTAACAAACTCATAGTCGTACAGATACAGCTCGTCAATGATATCACACGAAAGGTTCTAGAAAACAATTTGATTCGTTTTATATCATGAAAGAGGTGATTAATGGGCTCCACTTACGTTATTCGATTTCGCTAAAGCCTCCGATATATCATTCGCAATCTCCTCCTGTCGCCCGCTAGAGCAAATAAGTCTGCACTGAACTTGGATGCACCTTGGCGGCAAATAGTCTAAGATTTCCGCATGATCCAGAAAAACGCTGAAAGAAATATATACTAGATATTATATTAAATGGATTATGCTACTATAAAGTAAGAACCTACATACATTACATACATACATTAGATCTTTTCAGAAGCATAATAAAAGGATCAAATTATTAAATAATAAAAAATAAAGTTAAATGATTAGATATCAAAGTTTGAATTTCTTTTAAGCATTTTAGTATTATATTGCATTCCGATTATGCCTTGCTCTATAAAAAATCCATCAATAGTTAATTACGCCGTTTCAACGAGTTTCACTTCCCATGATAAACGTTGCAAAAAATCCATATAAAAAGTGCTTCCAATTTTGCGCATTTTTCGAACAGCATAAACAAAATACAATAAAATGTTATCAAAATAAATCTAGTTATATGTGCACGATGCGTGCCACATCATAAAATCATTTATCATTTTATCACATTTGAAGATTAGGGCACATGAGAGAGAGAGAGAGAGAGTCCTAGACTAACAAATACCCTGTTATAGGAATACATTATTATAAAAAAAAAATATTGTAAGTCATTTCTAGATTTTCGTTTTTGATTTTGATTATATCTTTTCTGCTCTTCTAAAGTGTAATGCTGCTTTATTCATACAAATTTGAAAAGTATTCAGGTATACGTATTTGTAATTCTCATTCAACTAGATCTATCTATAGTAAATCCTGCAATGCTGAGGAATCGGATTAAGACACAACTAAATAAATAGAAAGTTTTCAATCAAATGTTATTTATGATTAATGTTCACATATTAGCATTAATTATATCCGCTATATAGGGTATATTGCTGCAGTGCATAAAATCAATCAATAATTCTGGTTATATAGATGATTATTATATTTTTATACGGTACCTGATATTTTGTAAAACTTCCTTGTACTTGTTGATTGTGTGATGTATATATAAATTACCATTTTTCGATTGCGGCTGCTGAATATAGTGAATTTCCTGGGCAAGTGTCGAGAAGTTAGCCCAGACATGGAATAGGTAGAATATGATCAAGGTTTTCGATTGACAGAGCCCCAGCATAACAGATAACTTGATAGATCGAGCTGAGATTGTTTCCTGTAGTATTTAGCCAAATATAGGGGCTATATGGCGACTCGAATAGAAAGGTATACGTTTTATTTGTATAGTGTTTCATGAGCAAGCTATTCGAACTAGTTTTAGTCGCGAGCGCCAATGGTTAACTGAATACCAAATACTCGATAATACCAGCGCTAATGCCATAACATCATTCCTATCACATATTTAAGTAGTTCGTGTACTCGACGAGGCGATATCAGCTACAGGTGTATTGATTTTCTGATCCATTAATATGACAGCCGAATTGATAGCAAAATCACCCGTCTGGGTTTTACTGAGAAAACAAAACAGGAAAATCTAAACTAACATGGATACATAATGTACTCCATGAAGCTACCGAATTTGTTGTAGGTATTGTTCAGGTGTTTGGGTGATTCAATACATAGACATGGTGAGAGTTGCTTCAGTTTTTTATTAACAAACTAAAGTTGTTGATATATATGTGTATAGAATTAGTATAGAATTAATTATTATTTTACATTTTATATAAATATAAAAAAAATAAAAAACGTAATATTTAATTTTTGGATAGATCACATCTTAATAAACCTTATAAGCAACAATTGAATTACTTGAACTTAACTAACTTTTAATTGGGTTTCTAAGATTTCATTAGAAATAAGCTTGTCTCGACAAAAGATAAAATATTCAGATTGTAAAGTTCTCCTAATTATTTTGAATACATTGAAAAATTCTGATATAGTGATCTTAATCTTTTAATATGATTTAAAATGCTGCCTGGATGGTTGAAAGGACATTGTAAAGACCCACAAACTTTTTTTATTGAAAACAAAACTCTTGAAATCCACCTGAGCGTCAAGCAGCTGCAGGTGAGTCTATAAAAAGGCCATCAACAGTTAGTGCTGCGACTGCGAGCAGGCACAATGCTGAAAAGTCGCCCGATTGGGCAAGCCCCCAACTGGGGCCAGCCCCAAATCAAATGGCAGCTGAAAACTTTGTACAAATTATAAACACTTAAGCAGTTTGCAACTGGGGCGACGTTCTCAAGTGGAACCCAGCGAAAATAAAAAAGGGACAAAATATTGTCTAACTTTTGTTTGGGTCTCCGTTATTTCGGCGATTCGACTGTTATTATTATTTGCATTGCCAACCGCACTGCCATTCGGGCCGGGCCATCCACTCAGAGCAATCTCGATACTCCATTGTGAGCTCGCAAAGTTGCACAATTCAGATTTTTCTCTCTCTTGGCCATCGGAATTTCSTCTTTTTCTGCGACAGTTTTGGTTTGTTGGGATCAAAAGCCGAAACGAATGGCTAGGAAGTGGCCTAATGGCGCAGAGAAGTTGGCCCAAAGTGCTTCAGGGCATAAATGCAAATATGTTGACGCTATTTAGGCTGAATTTTAATCCGATGTTTTGTGTGAGTTTTACGAAAAATATTCATTATCATTATTTATCATGAACGGCTTACTAAAATGTTAAATGAAAATTATAAATTAGTTTATGCCAAGCTAATCAAAAGTTAAAGGAATATATTGGTTTTGTGCAGTATTTGACTATTCAATCTAGAGATTTTGAATTTGGAATATATGTATGTATACTCACTGATCTAAATTGGAAAATAAATTTTATTTATTTATTATATTTATTCATATTGATTTACATATATTTAAATATGTATATTTTCTCTATATATAAACATACTTTCATAATAGGTATGTATATGCATATACATATATATTTTTGAAATCCCTGCTAACTGTACCGCATTCAAATTTGTTTTGCAAACTTTTCACACGATAAGGGTTGCAGATCCATGGTTAGGGAATTTTTAGAATTGCGCTTGGGCAATGGTGGTGGCGTGTTGGGTCTGTCGACACCCTCACTAAGTTTGCGGCTTTCATTGAATTTCATCGGCATCTCATATTCCATGGCCTGTGCATTACTAATGCTAGTGAAGCATTCATCAAAACATGTGGAGGACGAGCTCACGCTGGCCGAGTTGGGCACCTTAATGTCGCTTGGCACGGTGAATATATCAGATGTCCTGCTTGAGTGAAATAATATATATTATTATCAACATATTTCTTAGGCATGAATGTAGCAAACTTACTTTTCAGCGCCAGCACGAAATGAGCACTTGTCCTTTTTGAACGAGTTTTTCATATATTTCGATTCGGTTATAGTTGAGACGAAACAAGTTTTATCCGATTCCTTGATGACGACAACATTCTTGGAGCCCTCCAGTAGATTGGGAAAGGACTTGATGCCCAGATATGCAAATATAGCTCCGAAAACAATCGACATGAAAAATATTAGGCAAAGCATTCCAATCGTGAACTGTTTATCGGTCTCGACCTCAATGACGTCATTCATTTCATTGTGAACAAGGGGCAGCGGGATATGCAGGGGCTGGCAGAAGAGCGGAGATACGACCACCTGGTTCTCCGCCATCATGCAAAAGGTGTAGGTGTGATTCTGCAGCAGCGGATCGGTAACCAAATAGGGATCTTCGTAGAGCATACAATTATAGTCCCTTGACGATGGTGTGGAATCGAAATATGTTTCGGTGTCTTCGTGTTCGGTAAACCAGATAATATTAAGTCTAGAGGCTACATCATATCCATCTATCGAGGCGCGCACAGTGTAATTTTCTAATATTTCCAAATCTAGATCATAGGTGGGTGGTTCAAAAACAAAGTGTTCAAATGCCGAAAATTCTGAGTGTTTTGGACTATCATTAGTTACATATCGCTTCTGACGATCTCCAATCGAGTCCTCGCTCCCTGTTATAGCGATAGGCTTCGAGCAGCTGAATTGAAGTATCGCACCGTAAGGAATTGTTGGTTTTGCCTCATTATTATTATTATCGTTTGATGCTTTGCCATCATAATCTGTTGGGGTCTGATCTATTGGATCGGTAACTTTGTCAGTGTCATCGTCTGATGTATCACAGCCCAGTTCTTTGGTAGTGAGCTCATCAAAGTTTTTGCCATACAGTTTCAATGGCATGCGACAGTATGGAGCACTTATAAAATAACTTTTCCTTTTGTTATAGAACTCGATCATAGACCGTAGCTGACAAGTGCAGTTCCAGTTATTCGGCTCGACATCGAATAGTCGTAGATTTTTACCCAGACCCAGCGAATCCGCATTGAAATGCGTCAACAAATTGTGCTTCAGGTCGACTAAAATCAGCTTTTGTGCAATGTGCTCAAAGGCCGAATCTTCGATTGCCGTTATCTGACAGTATTTCAGATATAGATAGGTAACATTCGGAGTGGCGATGAAAATGTTCTTGGTCACTGGTCCACTGAAGTTGTTGTAGCTCAAGTCCAGGTGCAGCAATTTGCCCAAATAGATATTCTCGAAAATATTCGAGCCGCTCTTGAAATTGATGCCGCAATTCATTCTCAAGTGGGTCAACGTCAGCTGAACGGGCTGCAGCAGAGCCAACTGAATGTTGGGCACTTTGAAGTCGATTTCAAACTTCTTCAACGAGTAGAGGCCCAACAGGGCTCCATTGCTCACATCATTCAGCTTCAGGTCCAGCCAAATCATGTGCAGCACCTTCGAAAACATTGGCGAATTGAATGCTCCGTTCTTGATCTTTGTCAATTCACTTTTGATCAGCGCTATACGCAGCACTGTCGCATTCACATCAATCCAATTGTCGTCTATATAGTTCTGACTTTGATTCGTTACGATCAGCGAGGTAATCACTTCACACTCGCTCACACTCATGACGGCAGCTGCATCGGCATAAAGATCTACATTTTGCGAGCACTCGATGCGACAGGTGTCCTCATAGCAGCCTCCACCCTCTGGCCCACCTGTAATGAGTCTGTAAGTAGTAATTGTTTAATACAATTTTTAATTTATATAATTAATATATCATTTCACCCAAGGAGTTCAGCTGATGAGTCTAGCTCATTGTTGTCTTCTATAAAATGACCCAAGGCAGCTTCCATGTTGTGGACATCTTCAGCCGGACTGCATTCGCTTTTTAGCCGAAATACAATATATATAATTAACGCTATTACTAATAGCCCAATGCATAGAGTCAATAAAAGTCGCGATAATATTTTCGTGCTTAGATGTTCAACATTTTTGCGCTTTGATTTTTTGGAGCTGAAAGTAAAATTTGAGGAAATTATGAAAATGAGAATGTATAAAACTGTATATCTGGATGATTTATAATATTTATAATTCATAATTAATTCTTTTAACTGTCATAAGTAAGTTTTATTCATTCAACTGCTACGCACATTAATTTACAAGAATTAATTACATTCTTCTAAATTAAATTAGATAGATCAAGATATATTTATAACTAATTTTTAAAGATTTACCGCAATGCATCGCAATCTGTGCTGCTATTTTGATTCTCCATAGAATTTGGTTCCATCTGCGTTTTATTTTAATTTAATTTTATTTTTTGGCAAAGCAGCTAAAGAGCTTTAACGCGGCTGTCAAGCCAAACCCAAACTGATTAATACAATATTGACAACACAGCATTTGCATTTGCCTTTTGGCTTATCGTTCACATAAACTAACTATAATGGTATATATGCATATGTATGGGTTGATAATGATAATACTTATTCATATGACCAATCAATAATATTATTGTTTTGATAACAACAAATATTATATATAAGTATGTTTATACTATATCAGCATAAATGATTTGTGACTGATTAACTAATTATTCTATGCATAGTAGATGTAAAGATGATTCTAATGTGGGTTTTTTAGCCCAGCGATTAGTTCTGGAAACTTGAAAAGTCAGAGTTCAAGTGGTATTATGATTATAATAGGATGTTCTCAGTAGATATCAAATCATTTCTCATATTTATGGTATTTAGGATATATATCTTTCATATATTATAGACTATTAATATAATAATACTAATACTAATAAATATTACATGAATATGCGCAGCTAGTATTTGGCAGTTTAGTAGAAACATATATAAATACATCTGGATAAAACTTTTTATTTTATTTTATTCATATAATTACAAATTACAAATAAATAAATACATT